TGCTTTTTTGATATTTAATGGATCGGATTACATTTTTTATTTTTCTCCGATATCCGATCCAGTAATTTAGGTCAGTATCGGACCGATACCGATACGTAATATCGGATCGGTCCATCTCTAGTTTGAAATAATTATTTTTACCATATACGTGGATCTCATGGAGCCCCTGTCTTTTTAAAAGCAGTAAACAATTCTTTAGAGCAGTCTGAAGAGTGAGCTTTTGGCTTTGAATGGATTACTTGTATATACACTACCCTCATTATCTGAAACGTATGTATAATAATAGTATCAACATTTGTAATGCTATATACTATATACGATGTAAGCTGGGTTGGTCTCCAGCTGCCCTGCAACCCTAAGCTTTGAAAGCAGTTAAGATTATGGATGAGTAGACATGAAAGAGAAGTGAAATATGTCCATTTAAACACCTTTTTCAGCCTTTTTGTAACAGAGCAGAGGTGGGTGGTGACCTGAAAGAACTGAACAGTACAGGAGGAAAACCAACCGATAGTGTCATTGTATTTTATATTAGTGCCTAATTATCTCCACTTTTTGTTTTCAGTGTGAAAAAGACACACTGTGGGCTGTGGAGGGGAGTTACGTATGAACATTGTGTGGCAGCTTCCAGCACATGGGCAGCTTTGGTCACTGGTGAACTGGCCCTCCCACATGGAGCAGTACCACTGTGTATTTGAGTCTGAAGCCCCACGGCACAATAATAATGTTCCACGTTAAATAATTCATTGTCACGCTCCCTGCTGGCATGTTATATTTGTTAATAATGTTTATGGAGATTGCACTCTCTATGCTAAACATTGACACACCATAATCACTACTGCAAATACTGAAGAAGAAGAAGAAAACGATAAGCAACATATTTCTGACTTTAGTCCTTTCAGAATAAAAATATCCTGACAGTTCTGACTCAGACTGAAGGCAGCTGCTGCGTAACAGATGATTTAACTCTAACTGTGACTGAGGGGTTTTAATCGGCCTTCAGTAATGGAATATTTCCTCAAAAACAACTATTTTATAATTTTATTTACTGAAATAAATTATTATTTTTGATAGCAAGGATGTTCACTTAAAGGGAGAAGTAATAGTTAGCATCAGTGCAACAGTATCCTAACGTGAAGTCTCAATCTCCAAAAAAGGTTAATGCTTTATTTCCTGTTGGCATCTGTAATCTGATCTAATGACAAGACATTATTCAACTGATTTCACAGGCTGAGTATTTCTACAGTGAGTTGACCCATCTTGTAAAGGTACTCCAAGCTCAGTGTACGGGGTGGGGCTCACACAGATTTCCCCGCTTGCCGTGGGATGTCTACAGATGCTGTCTGTATGCGCTGTGGAATACTGTGCTCCTCTCTGAACTGCAGACTCAGTTTACACAGTATGAGTAGTGTGGAGTAGCAGCTCTGAGCTAGTGGGTGAAGCTGCTCGAGCCCACACAAACCCTCCCACTCACCGCAGAGGATGGCACGCACCAGCAGCCGGAGGGACACCACACAAGAATGAACGCTGACGTAACGCACTAGCAGTGGAAAGGATCGGAAAGTGGTCTGTCTGGTTACAATTCCACTTCTCCTTCTTTGTGTTTGTGTGTGTTGATGTAAAAACAGTGCAGGATTGTGTGAAGATATTTGCTTCTTTTTCTTCTCACCTCTCCATTTGTACCCAGATAGTGGCAATTAAGTTAGCAGCTGCAGATATGGTGTGTATACGGCAGATATAGAGTACCATATGCACTACAGTATACTGTCTTCCATCCTCCTTAGTTCTAGAAGGAAGTCTGGCCACTCAGCAACCATCGGGAAACGCCGGGCACTTCTTTGGGCAGTTATTGCTAAGCATGATCTAAAATATACTTTTATATTTTAATGGACAGCTGCACAAACAACCAGTAAATAGTAGAGCATTGAGATAAATCTGATTATTGTTTCATAAATCCAGGCTCATCAATACATTTTACTTTCAAATATCAAACCTAGCTTTGTACTGTTACCTCATCAAAATGTATTTTTCGGTAGATTGTTGGTTTGGGCTGACCTTCAGTGTGTGATGTTTTTATGACCTACTCTCACTCACATTTACACCTCGGTGTTGCCTAGAGGTTCCCGTAACTGCCCTGCTTATCTCGGTGTCTGGACCGGAAGCTGTCTTATCTCATCACTGGGCTCCAGTTTCCAGTCATGATGCAGCTCTGTATGTCTGCAGATTTTATGATAACTCGAGTGAGTGAGACAGGATGTTGTCCTCTGTGGATGATGAGTCACTGCTCAAGGATACTTTAGCATCCTGGTGAAAATTCGAGGCAGTCTGAAAAGTACCACCCACCAAGAACCAAATGGTGGAAAATTGAACCTTTTCTTCAGAAAAATAGGTCAGACAACTCAAAAAAATATTTTTTAAAAATGTCCGTCCTTTCAGTTTCTGTTGCACAGTAAAATCAAATCTAAAATAAAGTTTTGCACATTTTCACATCTTTACGATTAACCCTTTTTACTTATTCTTTAAATTCAAACTGGACATGAACCTTACAGGCTATGGTTGTCTCATATTTTGCCCTCCAACAGGTGCGGTTTTCACCCATGTTTGTGGTCCTCAGAGGAACCTGAAAGGACTTTAGATATAATCTGAGAATAGACGCGTTTTGATGTCAACTTTTGGTTTTGGACTGTGCATTTCGAAGCTTCAACATTAGCAATTTAGCCACTGCATGTTAATTTTTTATGCAGGATTTACCATATATTGTTCATCAAAGTTAACTGCTAATGTTAGCAAGCTGCATCCAACACACATATGCACATATCAGCTAATTAGTGACTAAAGCAAGAGCTTTGTGGATGGTCTGTGTCACACAGCAAGCCATAGTTTTAGTCAGATAAAGCGTAATCTTTAATGTAACTAAAAGGATACAAATGAATAAGTTATAAAAGTATTCACCCCCTGTATATTTGTTATTACGTTGTTATAAAGAGGGAGATTATCCGTAGAGGTCAGAGGAGTTTTTGTAGCAGGCTTCAGTCCGTAACTTTTGACCAAGGAACTGAAATGCAAAGAAAAGCACGGTCATCCACAGTAATCCACACATTACCAAGTATTATTTATTTTATTTTTTTGATAAAGACAAGTTGGCAAGCTACGAGTGCCAGTTTGTTGTTTTTCAAAGTTAAGCTGGAATTTTAATTCCAGTGTACATCAAATAATTTAAAGTCCGTGTTCCTAAAATGGACTTTGGAAGTTTGGCCCACAGTTAATTCCTTAGATTTTTAATGCTTTTCTATGTTTGTTTATAGGAAATCCTTTGTTCTTTGTTCATATTGGGGGATGTTTTTAGGTCCCTTTCTTTCTAATAAACACACAAACCAGCACCTCATGTTCACCTGCTCCCAGACTTTTTTCATTTCGCCTCCTCAGTGAAATCCCTCCCCCATCTAATTGATATTCATACAGTGTGTGTGTGTGTGTGTGTGTGTGTGTGTGTGTGTGTGTGTGTGTGTGTGTGTGTGTGTGTGTGTGTGTAATGGTGTGTGTCCTACTGAGAACCAGTTTCTTGCTTT